AAAGCAGCTTTAGTATAATATAGACCTTTAATCCGGAATCCGACTTCTTTTCACCAGTAGATGTCCTCAGTCTTCCAGGGTGAATGACAGCCACTGTCATTCAACCACCTTCCACTGAGTCCAGGGTGTCATGGACATTCCCCCACCGGTCCAATGTTTGTGTGCGGTTTTTATACCACTTTGTTATCAACACTGAAGTATTAGGCCCCGTTCACATTGAGCGATTTATCGCGCGATTTTTGCAGTGATATCGCTCATATTTCCGCGCGATATCGCTCTATGTAGCTTCACCAATACATTTCAATGGAGCTGTTCACATCTCGTCGCTCAATATCGCTTGTTGCTCGTCGCTGGTAGCTTGTCGCTCCTACATGACCCTTTTTTAGAGCGATTTTGCTCCTGATTGCATACAGCCCAATAGGAAGAAGTCGCGCAATATCGCTCAAAGTCGCGCGATTTCCATGTCGCTCAGTGTGAATGGGGCCTTAATGTCTATCCAGCAAACTGATAGCACTATGTGCCCAGTCACTACTTATGGCCTTGTGTGGCCAGCTTAACGTACATCCACCACTGTCAATCACTCTAGTAAGTGTCCATCATATTATTTGCAGTTGAATGGGAAAAGGGTCTGTGTGCAAGTACATACCTATGGAACATTCATCCACATCTTGGTCACAAGCTCCCCCAGTAAAACCAGGAGGACAGGTGCAGATTGCTCGCCCGTTCACAGGGTTAGTGTCGCACATGGCATCCTTGTGACATGGATTGCTAACACACGCATCCTCCAAATGGCACAGGAGACCTGCCAAAGAGAAGACACCAAAATAAAAAATAATACAGTCTGCAACATGTCATCACACTGCAAGAACAGATTTCAACCAAATCCTCCGGTAAAAGGAATATCAGAAAGTGAAATGTCCCCCTAGATACACAATCTATTGTTCCAGGTTACCAGCCAAGTTAGGCCAAAGGAGACTAAAAATATGTCCGTTATTCCTCTGTGGGATGAGTGCACAGGAAGTCCACTATTTAATAATAAACCACCATATGCAAAATTATTTTACTTTGCGCCATAATTGTGGCATTATAGAATTTTCTAACAAGATTGCTGGTATGAAAATCTACCAGTGTATGGCCAGCTTTACCGTGATCCATGACGCTACCAGCTACCTATGTCACAGGCAACACCCACAACTGAGTGCCCCCGGGTCTACCCCAGAGTCGTCTCCCCCCGGGTCTGCCCCAGAGTCGTCGCCCCCCGGGTCTGCCCCAGAGTCGTCGCCCCCGGACTGCCCACCTCCCGTGTCTACCCCCGGACTGCATACCCCCGTGTCTACCCCTTAAGCTGACCACACACTGTGCAAACTGATTGTACAAGTTGAATGGATTCTTTAGATTTGTTTCCATGTTGCATAGCTTTGGAAAATCTTACAGGAGTGTATAGCCTCCTTTAGACTCAGATTTGACCCAAACCATCATGGTTTCCTACCAGCCCCGCTACATTTTAATCTGTGTGCCTATGCCTATGGTCAGTTAGGACTCTACGAACACTCCTCATGAGGCAGATCTAAGCATTTGATTTTGGTTTTTGATTTGATTTTAAATTAGCATCCTCACGGTTGGTTTGTAACGAAGCTGCAGTTATCACACTTTGTCATCCTCTCTCACTGCTATAAGATTTGATGTACGAAGAGTCGTTCACAGATGTGTAAAAGATAAATGAATAGCTGAGGTCAGCTTCCTTGAAATCTACAATCTCACCTCTTACTGGCAGGGCTTTGATGTGACAATTGTTCTGAAAATATCCTAAATCTGCTGAGGGCAGGGAAAATTTCGAAGAGACATCACACTTACATACAGGTCTGATGATCAGGAGATAACGGGCATGAATAATACTCACTTCCCGCTCACTTTTTTTCATTTAATTCACTCATTTAAGTGCATGACCCAAAAACAAATTTGTTTAATTTAATGTGAAGTTTTTTGTTTTTTTATTTAGATAGATGCACTTTTAAAATCGGCTATTCACCCTGCTTCAATTTTGGCTTCCCTATACTGCATATGGGATAAGATTCATCAACATAAACTTCACTGCCATTTTGATCATATTAAATTGTCTAACCCAACAGCAGAGGTAATACTTATTGTTACAATGACACAACTCCCCCTCCCCCCCTACTCACCAGTCTTGCCCATGGGGCACTCGCAGTAAAATGAGGCTACTCGGTCATGGCAGGTGGCGCTATTGAAACAGACGGCGGTGGCGCAGTCGTCAATGTTCTCGCTGCAGCTCTCCCCGGTCCAGCCATTGACACAGACGCATGTGTGTCCACCTAGATTGTTGAAGCAGGTGCCGCCATTGTGACAGGCATTGGGTTGGAGCTGGCACTCGTCTACATCTTCTGTACAGAACTGACCTGTGGCAAGAAAATATATGGATTTTTTTTTAAGCAACCAGACCACTATATGCACAGTTCCATATATGCCAATGAAGTCACCTGCAAAACTATTTGAAAACATGTTTCGGCTACAATGGGATTCTTACACTAGGGTGACACCACTATGTGGAGCAGACTTTCCCAATCTTTTTATCATAGAGGAACCCTTGTTCCTTGTTAAGCCTCAAGAAACCCTAGTTAAATACGCTTATATCTGCAGCTCATGGTACAGCAGCCATGGCTCATTGGTGGTAAATGAGAGAAGGGCCTCCTTTCACTGGTGGTAAGTCAGACGCATACCCTGTTACACTGGTGGTTGGTGCAAAGCATGCCCTGTTATACTGGTGGCTAGTGAGAATTATGCCCATCACAATTTAGTGCCTTCAAACAACGGCAACAGTGGGAAGAGCATGCTTGTCACCTGTCCTACAGCTCTGGCGGAAAGTGTTTATATGTTAGGTTTACCGTAGCTCCGCCTTTCTCAATCCCTGCTAAAACTAATTCAATGCCCTCCTTACATTGGTGGTCAGTGGGAAGAATGTCCTCCTTACATTGGGGATCAGTGGGAAGAAAACCCCTTACATTGGTGGTCAGTGGGAAGAATACCCCTTACATTGGTGATCAGTGGGAAGAATGCCCCTTACATTGGTGATCAGTGGGAAGAATGCCCCTTACATTGGTGATCAGTGGGAAGAATACCCTCCTTACATTGGTGATCAGTGGGAAGAATACCCTCCTTACATTAGTGGTCAGAGGGAAGAATGCCCTCCTTACATTGGTGGTCAGTAGGAGGAATGCCCTCCTTACATTGGTGGTCAGTAGGAGGAATGCCCTCCTTACATTGGTGGTCAGTAGGAGGAATGTTCCCCTTACAAAGAAACCAGAGCAGAAGCTCCACTAGTCATATGCTGTGCGCTCTGTGGAGTGGAGTTGGTGCCAAAGGTAAGTAGACACCATTAGACGGGAGGTCAATCCATCATAGCTCTAGGAATCCCTGGCAATATCTGAAGGAACTTTGGTTGAGAAAGGCTGATTTTGAGCCTACAGCCCTGCTATTGCAATCTATAACTAGGCATGCCTCCGTTCCTCTAAACCCCAATCTCTCTCTTCCAGTGGTTCACCCAGGAGCTCAGAATACCATTTCCTCTAAAATGCATCCTGCCACAAGCACCTGTGGTCAATGACTCTGTTCCACCCTCTTCTGTGATGGGTTTACTAACCAAACACCGACAGTAAACGGCCAACAAGGAAGCAACGTAGGAATAAAAGAGCAAGCCAGAACCAGCAAGCTAATGCCAAATTAAAAAAAAAAGTCCAGCCAGCTGAAAATGAACAGGTTACAATAAAGACTGCCAGGTTTTTTTTTTTAGCTTGGAATCATTTTTCTTTAACAGTGGAACAGAACATAAAAAAAATACAATTAATTTAGCAAATTAGAATCTGTGACTCACCTGTCCATTCGGGGGGACACTGACAATTGTAAGTGTTGACTCCATCCACACACGTGGCACCGTTCATGCATTTATGGTCAGGACAGTCATCCACATTTATTTCACAGTTTAGTCCTTCGAAACCTATAAGCACAGAGGTTTAGAGTAACATATCACAAAGCCTTGGGTGGTAAAAGAACGGGACACATAAGAGGTGACCTTTCCTCACCTGGCAGGCAGACACATTGATAGGAGAGGTCTCCAGTCGGGCGGCAGGTGCCCCCATTCTGGCACTGGGAAGGCGCACATGGCACATAGTTGGCCTCACAGAACTGACCAGTAAAACTACTCGGGCAGCGACAGCGGAAAGAGCCGGGAGTGTTGATGCACTGTCCTCCATTTTGGCAGAGCCCGGGTGTTCGGCATTCGTCAATATCTAGCCGGCAGCTGCGTCCCTGGTATCCTGGCGGGCAGGTACAGTTGTAGCGGCCATTCCAATTGGTGCAGCGGGCACCATTCTCGCATGGGTTAGTGGCACAAGCGTCGATGAGGGAACAATCCTGACCTAAATTGAACAGACCAAAGTGAGTCGCTGAACAATGGGGCACCATAGTGGCTTAGCGTTTAACACCTTTGACTTGTTGGGGTCTGGGGTCTGGGGTATAATCCCCGTCAAGGACATGATCTACATGGTGTGTTCATAAACGCGCCACGTACATTAGATTATGAGCCTTTAAGGCAAGGGTCTCAAACCTCCGGCCCTCCAGCTGTGGTGAAACTACAAATCCCATGATGCATCTCTCTTCGGGAGTCATGTCTGTGGCTGTGAGAATCTTGCAATGCCTCATGGGATTTGTAGTTCCACCACAGCTGGCAGGCCGGAGGTTTGAGACCCCCGCTTTAAGGGGACAACCGGGACGGATGTATAAGGTTCTTTGTATCCGAGTGCTGAATACATTGGAACAATGTAAGAGAATAAAATGAATACTCTCTCACCGCCACAATTCCAGGTCCACAAGAAGCACCTACCTCTAAAACCTTTGGGACAGCTACAATCATACTGGACAGTTCCTCCTCGGATAGACTGCTGGCAGGCTCCTCCATTGACACAAGGAGTTGGCACACAAGGATCTTTATACTGGCAATAGTCTCCAATCCAGCCAGTGAGGCATCTGAAAAGGAAATCAGAACTCAGATCACCATAGTCATACGCTAATCCCATTTACACCTTACCGCTGTAGTACAACATTATGGCAACACCAGGCTCTACATCACATAGAAAGCTTCATACAACTACAAATGATGCCCCAATAAATGTAATATTTCAGTTTTGGTTGGACACTGGTGGAGTTGATCCTGCGCTGGTTTTAGAGATCTCCTAAAAACTCAAATATTGAGGTTTGTTTCTTCCGACTCTCCCACAAGGACATAATTATGTCACCTTCTTTAAACATTTATTATGACATTTTCATTTGTAGGGATGCACCGATAGCGGTACTAGTATCAGTGCCAATACCGAGTATTTGGATGAGAACTCGTACTCGCCAAAATGCTCAGATACTTACCTCCGATATAGGAACTTCCGGTCAGAGGCAAATCTCCCTCCCACTGGTAGTGACGAGGGAGCATGGAGCCGGCTTCCTTTCCAATCAGGAAGCCAGGCGGCCGGTTATGACCCAGCTCCCAGATTGGTAAGGAAGCCAGGCTCCCTAGCAACAAGTGAAGCCGGGTTCCTAGCTGATAAGGAAGCCGGGTGGCATGTAATGACCTGCCTCCCGCCTTCCTGATTGGTCAGGAAGCCAGGATGTCTAGGAACAAGTGAAGCCGGCTACCTAGCCAATCAGGAAGCCAAAAGACGGGTCATGAGGTGCTGCCCGGCTTCCTGATTGGCTAGGAAGCCGGTTTCCGATCAGGAAGCCGGAGGGCACCTCATGGGGGGAAAAAAAAAAAAATCGGTACTCAATACCGAAAAACTGTTATCAGTGCATCCCTAACCATCTGTCAATGGTCCAAGTATTTGGGGGAGGAAATGGGAATTCTGGTGTTCTAGCTTACCAATCTTTAGATCAGGGGTAGAAAAATGTATATGGAATCCAGGAGCCAATGTGTCCAATCCAGGAGCCGGCACTTTTCTTTTAGGAGCCGGCTCCACTGACAACTAGAGAAAACCTCAAAAGTTGGGCACCTGCCGAAATTCAGCAGGTCAGTATTGCTAACGAACGATTATCAACATCGTTCTGTGCTTGATGGGCTATTTGAGCTAGAATCAAAAGAGGGTTCTTGGCAGCAACGAAAATTCCAGATTGAAAATCTATAGGTGCATGGTTAGCTTTAGATGTGGTGGCTCCATTACCTAACTTTTTTTCAGGTTTTTTTCCTTTATTGTCTCCAACCCACTTCCTGTCCTAAGATAACACCCATTAGTTGTACTGAACCTATAGAGAAGCAGCATTGTCATCCTAGGCTACTCGTTCCCAATTTTGACTGCAAAACACTTGCCCTCCCCCTCTTCTTCATAAGAAGTGGAGAGGTTTTGTAGTTCACAGATGTAAATTGGTGACGATAACACGGCTTGAGTTTCAGTGTTGTCAGCTCACTACAGGAAGCTCACTAGGTTTCTGGCAGAATCAATATGTATTTCTTTAGCTTTTTGAACAGATTCAACAATTTCAATTGTATATTTAACAGACCAAAGGGAAGCAATCAAGCAAAGTTTAGTGTTTTAAATATTTCTGGACCCAAGGAACCACATGTAGCATGAAGGGTTGGCAACCACTGGCTCACATGCCAATGCAGGGCAAATACTACAACATAACAAGTGGTGGAAAGTGTGACACTTGTGCTCCTCCCATTTCAGTTTCATCTGAGACAAATAATAGCGAGATTAAAAAGGTTAATTATTTTTTCACACGGAGAAAACGCGTTTTGATCTGCTTCTAACAAAACAAAACTGGTATATGAAGATCTGTTCAGTGGGCTGCAGCAAGTAACAGGCTGAATTTTAGCATTGCTGTGGCTGAGTGGGTGGGTACCCATGAAGCCTCTTGCTCATGCTGTGGTTCTTGGCTCTCACCCATGATCTTTAGAACTCAGCATTTCTCTCGGATGGAGAACTCTGAATTCCAAAAGAACAGCAGAGAGAGAAAACAAGAGTGGAGGAACAATGAAAGGAGTTCTGAACACCCAAAACTGAGTTTTAGAGGTTAGATCACCTGGCAACGAGCGTGCCGCCCGGTTCGCTCAGCAGTGGCAACGCCAGCGTCTATTTTCGCTTTCTAACGGCGACGATGGGGATAAAACAGTTAAAAGGGCCAGCCCACCCAAACTGACAGTCAAGCCAGAGATGAAGCCTGGAGGTTTGAGTCAGTCCCTGGCTTCTTATTCGTCTTGGATACTCCAACAGCTTAGACCTCCCTGTCACAAATCCAGACTCCGATTCCAGTTTTGGAAATTGGAGTTTTGCGTGTTCCAGCGTCTCCTGTTGAATTCTCCAAGACACAAAATACATTAAAAATCCAGCTGGCAAAGAAGGAGCCCCTTAAAGTGGCCGCAGCCGTTTACAGGCCTGGAAACCAAAATACTGGGCAAGTTCACCCTTCACATTAGGAAGCCAAACTGATGTTTTTTGGGCCATATGTGGCCCTCTCATTTGATGCAGCCTTTTATGGGTTAAGAATTAAAATTGAATAAGGACCGCGCTGTTCTCTATGATAAATGCTACACTTCCAGCTCATGGACATGTTTAAGTCCCCCTTTCTCTGGTCTAAAACACTTTACATTTAAGTATTTACAATGATATACCAAAGTGCTATGATCTCTAAGCCGGTGTGGCCCTCAGCAGGCAAAGTGACCACTTTCTGATTCATTCCAATCAACTAGGCCCACTGTATGATTTGAGTTGGACATCCGGCTTTACATTGAACAGATGAAGATTCGAGTCTCCAGAGTGCTTGAACTATAAGAAGCCATCTTATGCTTCAATGTATTTTTTGCCATTAATGTTGCCATACAAAAAAAACTTACAACAATCAGAGCCCTTATCTTCCACATGGACCTGAATCTAAACCTATGGAAATGTGTGGCAAGAGTTCACCGGTTCAAAGCCGGCCAAATATGTTACAGGACAGTAGCACAATCTCTTTTAGAATTACCAACAATGATGTAGCCTGTAGATAGGCCCTCTACCTATACAATTCATTCCACATATAACCAGTCAGGTAGGCAACTACACCCAATGTTGAAAAGCCTACACAAAATTGTACATTCAGGTTCTAACATGTATGGCCAGCTCAAAACTCTGAAAGATAGATGGTTGTGAAGTAGAGTATCATAAGAAAAGTGACTGCAGATTCACGCTCGGCTGCCGTGAAAAGAGACTGCCAAACTGAGGTGCAACCGATCCTCAAATCTTAAGAATTAAAGTTGAATCAAAAAGAATTAGCTGAGCAGCCTATGGAGTTCATTCATGCCAAATTCTAGATCACCGAGGACCCTTGCAGAGCAACATCGTGATGTATACATTTTATAATGAATGCCAGCTATGCGCTGGAATGCCTGCCAACTGAGATAAGTTGAACAGCAGGTTGGAGAATGAGGTACAGGCGAAATTTTGAAAAGTTGTGTAATCAAGCATTGTGATGACGAATGCGGGCAAAGCTCAAGGACCAAAAGGTGTGTAAATTTCAGCTCCACTGGGTCAAGCGGGTCTTCTGCGGTCAGCAGAGCAAACAAACTGTTCACATAGGTGAATGCAGACAAAAAGCAGACAGAAACTCGAAAAATAACCTCACGCACGTAGCGAGGGGGAAAAGAATAAGTGAAAAACGTGTGAAAAAAAGACGGGTTTGAGTAAACAGGAAAGAAGGAGAGCGAGGGTGGGGGCCGAGAGAGCCAGACAAGAAACATCTGGGATGCGTTAAGAGTGCGCGCTCAGTAACCCTTTCTTAGTTCGAGAACTGAGCCTTGTAAAGCCGAATTATGGATGAATCCCAGCGAAACCTATTAAAAGATGGATTCCAAGAGGTGTGCTGTGCCAACAAACAAAGCCAAAACAGCTTAATCTTCCGTAGTCTGCCAATTATTCCATGGGAATTCAGTTGAGTGCCCTCGAGGTAGAGACATAGTATAATTTGAGGGCATGGATTACTGTTAAAGGATAAGTGTATAGTGGTATTAGGGCTGCAACAACTAATCGACATAATCGATTATAATCGATGATTGAAAAAGTTGTCAACTTTTTCAATCATCCATTAATCGGCTTTTGATTAGTTGGCCCTGTTCACAGCTCCACACGCTGCGCGCCGCACCTCCTCCCCACCTCACGCTCGCCGCTGCCAGACACAAGCCGCACCTCCTCCCCGCTTCACGCTCACCGCCCGCCCACATCCACGATCGGCACAGGGATGCGCGGAGAAGTAGTAAGGAGGAACAGGTGTGGGGGGATGACAGCGGCAGATAGACAGGCCCGATCTCAGAAGCAAGTTGCTGGAAGACTGCTCAGGTACGCCTGCACTTTCCCACACATGGTGCTCTATAATGTATTGCTGGGATTTGTATTCCTCTATAGGTACATTGTGCTGTACATTATACAGAGCAATGCACCATCAGCTATAGAGGAATACATTATACACTGCTGGGTATTCCTATATAGCTGGTGGTATTCTGCATTGCGCTGTATAGAGGACTACAAATCCCAGCAATAATACATTATACAGTGCAATGCGGAATACCACCAGCTATAGAGGAGTGCAACAAATCCCAGTAATAGTACATTATACAGCACAATGCCGGCCACTAGCTATAGAGGATTACAACAAATCCCAGCAATAATACATTATACAGCACAATGCCGAACACCACTAGCTATAGAGGACTACAAAACCCAGCAATAGTACATTATACAGCGCAATGCAGAATACCGCCAGCTATAATGTACTATTGCTGGGATTTGTAGTCCTCTGTAGTCAGTGCCATTCTGCATTCATTGCTGTTGTATAATTTTAAACTTTTCATTTTCACTATATCGCACACCACACTTTTCTTTTTTTTCTTGCACTGCTCCAAGCTTGCTCCTCTGATGGACTACAATCTCAATACAAACTAGCAGTCCCATCACTGGAGCCATTTTTTTAAATTTTATTTTTTATTCGATCAAACTTAATAATCGGCTAAT